CAATTCAAAGTATTTCTTTACATGAGTTCATCTTCTTCAGTGAAACCTGTTAATGGACCATCCACTGGAAAGGTTGTCCTTATTGCATCATATGCACATGCAGGCCAAGGAATGCGTTTGTTACCCAATTTTCCATATATAAGGCGTGTAAACTCTCAATGGGAGACACTTCTCAGCAACCAAGATAAAAATAAATCTGTTTGAGATATTGGATGTAGAATCATTATAAAATACAATACAATATTAATTGTTCATTGTCACAAGATTGTATTACACTCATGCGTAAGAGCCTTGTAATCATGTTATGGAGAAATTGTTATAGTGCCCTTTATTTGTTTATCAAAAGCCCCCCTGTTGTACATGATCAAGGGAAAAACATTCATAATTCAGTATTCACTGTGTTAACAGATTCGACTGAAGATAAATACTTGTAACAAATTTTTCACATTGTAACATAATTTGTGCATTTTTATTTGTTTTTTTAAGAAACACTTATTATTTTTATGGAACTTTGTCTCCCTAAACTGTACAGACCTTTTTTCCTTTCCTGATTTGTCATACTTTTGTCCTGCTCTTGTCTTATATTTGTCAGCAGCTTGCTTCAAGCACCATTTTTTAAGGCAGACATCTGCGAAACCTGGATGGTCAGTGACACAAGTCATTTCCCCAGCAATATCTCTCTGCACCTCCTCACTTTGCAATGCTTCTATGTAGCCTTCCAATTCTTGGCAGCACAGGAATTCCTCGGGATTTTGAAGTAGCTTCACTGAGCAATGACCGCATTTACACCTATAAATGAAAAAATCTTGAAAAATGAAATATATATATAATATTCATTTCAAAATAATGTTTCCCCAACAAAAAACACTAGCAAAAATGACGGGACAAACCTCAAGAACGGGGGTCTGAAAGTCAGTGAAAGCGAGGATCAGAGAAAACTAACCAGAGGGGAAAAAATTGAGAGGGTTTGCAGGGGTAAAACTGGAAAAGTTGATTGTAGGAAAAGAAAATCAAATTGGGAAGCTGTGGTTAACACCAGAACAAATCCGCTCTTGGGGCACAAAAGAATTGTAGGCCTATTGAATGCAGGCCTATTCCATTAATATGCCTTGCCCCTTCTTTTGCTTTCATGTTGCTTGCTAGTTCTACAGAAGAACATTTAGATCACCTACCAATTCTCTAAATCGAAAGCATTTTCAAATCTTTTTTTTAATTTTTCTTCTTTCTGCACTCTTTCTGCCGTTTCTTGATTGAACCGACGCATGTATTCCTCATCAGCCAGTGGCTCGTCAAGGTAGGCAGACGCAAAATCTTGGCCAAGCTCGTCAATGTCTTCCAAAAAGCTTGCGAAATCTTCGAATTCACTTCCTTGCCTGTCACTTTCAGACTCATCTGAAGACATTTTTGAGATATTTGTTAGAATTCCGTCAAAAAGAAAAAATCGAGGACTTCCACTGTTTTCACACCGAATATCGTGACTAATGACTAAGCACTTTCAAACGCGCAAAAAATTATTGTGTGATCCTGGGCGGACGTCATCGACTGATTAGAGCCCATGCTTCTTTCCTGCGCGGTCATATACGAAGGGTTCTACAACTTTGGGAGCCATGATGGGGGCTTTCACAAATATGGAATGCACTAAAAAATAATTTACTCATTTTTAGGACCCTTGATTTACCCAAGGTGACCCTAAACGTACAGAGTTTAGGTCCACTTTAAATTAGTTGGAATGTACCTTGGTCTAATCTGTGTGCAGTGTCTTTTCCAAACTATGTTCTCGACTTGGACTTCATAATTTCTTGGGCTAATCTCCTTCAAAATTTATCCAGGTAACCACTTTGCCCTTTACCAATATTTAAAACAAATACAGCTTGACTCGGTTTGAAATCAGTTTTGAACTCCGAGTTATCTTGGAAAATCTTGACTTGTTGCTTTGTGTCTTGGAAACTCTTCTGTCTTAGTAAATCGAATCTTGTCTTGGGTTGTCGATTCATTAACAGCTCTGCAGGTGACTTTCCAATCGTTGTAGACGTTACTCTATACGTGAATAAAAACTTATCTAATCTGACTGGTAATGCTTCATTACTTACTTTCATCTGTGTAGATTTTGTCTTGAAATGTCCTACATAGCGTTCGGCTAGTCCATTCGTTGCTGGATGCGCAGGTGCTGTCTTTGTGTGAAGTATGTTGTTCAAACGTAGGAATGTTCCAAATTCATTACTAGTAAATTGTGTTCCATTATCCGTGACGATATGATATGGTAGACCAAAATGACTAAATAAATGTCGTAGTGCATGAAGAGTCCACAATTAGACAAAAAGTAACACACATATAAAGACGTGCTTCTGTCACTTCGATGTTACATCATAATAACCTCATAATCAAACAGCCTCGTTTAGAACATTACATTCCTCCCCTAATTACAAAACAAAACATAACATAACATAATTGATAAAGTACACATAACATGGTTCTATTGTGTCTGTTGCATTGTTAGATTAAAACTCAGTCTGAAAGTTTTCATCTCTGTATCTAGCAGGAGCTTGTCTTATTCTCACCGGTCTCTCTATTGGCACTTCATTTGGTGGAATGACATCTTCTTCTCTTTCATCAGTGTCAGGTGAAAGTGGCTGTGTGGTATAATCTCCTTCGCACCTTGACTTGTTCTCATCCAGCCTTTGTAGCTTCTTGAAAAATGTAATATGCCTTGTGATGGTTCTTGTGGCATTTCTGGCTGTAAATAAACTGCCTTTCCTCTTCAGAACAATCATCGGCTCACTGTTGAAAGGTGTGGTTTTCTTGTTGAGCTTCGCTTGTCGACACAGAACTGTGTCCCCTACTTTAATATCTAGTTCTTTTACATAACTCTTGCTGTCTGCGTTCTGCTTCATTGTTTCTTTGCTACTAGCATCCTTTGTACGCACCTCTCTGTCATAAAGCAATATTTTCTTACTGGTAGGTGCTGGAAGACGCGTGCGTAACGGAGTTTAATCCAGATGTGCAACAAGATGCTGGTAGCAATGAAGAACCCCGATGGAAACTCTGGATAGAAAACCTAGAACTGGTGATGGAATTTGAGGGCATCACTGACGCTGCACCACTGATCTTGTACCTTCGTCCATTGAAAAGGAGACTGGCTGGAGAATGCTTTGTCATTGTGTGTGGAGTAGCTCTGTAGGCCCTCAGGTAATTCTGTAATTCCTGTCTCCAGTTTAGACGCTCTTCTGTGGAGGAGCGAATGATTTTTTCTAGGTTTTCACAAAATTTTCGGCCCATGGTGCATATGGTATTTTCTTTTTGGGCTCAAAACCCATCTTGCATACGATTTGAATTCCTCACTGCTATATGGTGGCCCATTGTCACTTGCTATTTCATCTTGGATTCCTAATGTTGAGAGAATTTTGTCCATTGCTGGTATGACTGCTGTACCAGAAGTTGAACGCACGATTTCGACCATAGGAAATCTGGAGTACAGGCATTGTACAACCAGCAGGTATTCACCAGTGTCTAATGGACCATATAGGTCTGTTGCAAGTTTAGACCATGGTTCTGTGGGTAGTTCTGTTGGCTCGAGTGGCTCTTGCTGATGAATATCTGTATTTGCCTGGCATGCCATGCATTGTGCAATTTCTGTTTCAACCCTCTAATCTAATCCCGGAAACCACAAATGCATGCGTAAGTATTGCTTTGTTCTCACAACCCCTTGATTTCCCTCATGAGCAAGGGTTGTCACAGACTGCCAAAGGCTGGCAGGAACAACAATTCTGCAACCTCTGAGCACTAGGCCATCCACTACTGAAAGCTCTGGAAATATATGTGCATATGAAGCCAATCTCTTTTTCTGCTCTTTGCTGATGTATCCCTGTGAGATCATTTCTTTGAGAACTGTCAATGTTTCATCCTCTAGTGTAGCTTTTAACGTGTGTTCTTTTGTTACAGCCTTGGGAAGGTTGGCTCGGACAACTGCATCAACGTATAGCATATCCTCTTCTATGGATTTCTTTGTTACGGTACACACATCAGCTAAGACAACTAGATGCCGGGAAAGATAATCAGCTGGATTTGTCTTCCCCGGCTTGTGAATTAGTGTGTAGCTATAATCTTGCAGCTTCAACTTGTCCCGCAGGATTCGTGCCGGAAGTTCTGCCTTGTACTGGTTGTACAAGGGTAACAAAGGCTTGTGATCTGTGCTTGCAATGAAATTTTGAAGGCCATGTAGATAGATATGGTTTCTCTGCATGGCGAATGCTAGTGCAGCACTCTCAATTTCAATTTGTGAGTAGCGACTCTCAGTGTCTGTTGTCGGTCTGCTGTCGTATCTGATTACTTTGTATTGTTGTGTTTGGGGCTCAAGTTGTGTCAAGATGCTAGAGAAGCCATATTTGAAGCCATCTACAATGAGCTTTGTTTCTCGTGTTGGGTCAAAGTATGCCATTGTGGTGTCTTGTGAGAGGGCCTCTTTAATTGACTGAAAAGCATTTTGACGATCATTGGTCCAGTTGAAAGTAACATTCTTTCTAGTGAGCAACCGCAACGGGGTTGTAAGAGCAGAGTAGTTGCGAATAAAATGAGCACTGAAATTAGCCATTCCCAAGAAGGATCGAACTTCAGCTGCAGATGCGGGTGGTTGGGCATCATGTAGAGCCTGTACTTTGTCAGGTGATGGTGACATTCCTGCTGATGAGAAAGTCATGCCAAAAAACTTGATTTCTGGTTGGTTAAAACTGCACTTTGACATTCCAAGTGTTAGACCGCAGTCATCAAGGCGCTGTAATACTTGCATAAGTGCTCGATCATGTTCTTTCTGAGATTTTCCAAACACGATAATGTTTTCATAGATGTTTTCAGCATGTTCAATATCCACCAGCGTTTGACGAATTTCCTCATTGAAAATCTCAGCAGCGGAATTGGTGCCAAAATTTAACCTTTTGAAACGCCTCAGGCCTTGATGGGTGTAGAACGTTGTCATGTATCTGCTTTCTGGGCTCAGCTCGAACTGCATGTAGCCTTGACGCATGTCTAGTTTTGTGAAATGCTTGGCTTCATTTAATTTGTATCGCAGTTCTTCCAATGTGGGATGACATGACGTGTGCGCCGGATGGCAGTGTTAGCTGTGGTCACATCAAGGCTCATTCGCAACTGGGATGGATCAGCTTTTGGTGTCAACACGACATTTGAAACCCACTCTGTTGGTCCATACACTGGCTCGATGATGTCTGCATCTTCCAATTCTTTGAGAATGGCTTCAAATTGCTCCCTCTTTGTAAAGGGTATCCAGCGCTGTGGTTGAATTTTTGGAGGTACTGACTTGTCCACGGACAACTTCACAACTCTGTATCGATGTTTGCCAATACCTTCAAACACCCCAGGGTATTGATCACAATGGCCTTAACTCTGTCTGTTGCATCTTGCTTATGTTTGTAGATATTGTCCAGCCGCTGTTTGGAAGACTTTTTAGAGGTGAGATGCTCTGCCATAGCTGAATATGACATGTGTTGAGTGACGTGAGTGGTGGCCTTGGCACTCTTGTTTCCCTGTTTTCTTTCCTGCAGCACATGGTGCATGTCTTGCATGTCTGCGGTTAATTCTTTCACAGTGATGCTAAGCAGACTCAGATCAAAAGCAGTGTACTTTCCAATGAGGGGTTTTGGTCCTGATCCTGGAACAACATACACCGTTGCAATGGCCTGCTTTCCATTGGCTGTTAGCTGTGTCTGGAAGGATCCTTTACCGGAATGGGTGGAGAGTTGTACGGCTTGAGCTTGACGTGTTCTTCTAAGTTCCGGTTTAGGGTGCAGCTGGTGGTAGAGGCTTTCATCAATGATATTTGCATCTGCACCTGTATCAATTTGCATTCTCAATTTTGTGCCCCCATCAAACTTCACCTGCACCATGGTATCCGGATATAGTTTCTTGCTTTGGATAGCATGAACTGGTGTAGTGACTGCAGCCAGCTTGAGAACAGTAGATATAACTGTCTTGCTCTGGATTTTCATCAAATTTTTCTTCTGTGTCAACCGTTTTGACTGGCTTTGTTGATTTTCTTGACTCACAAACACTAGCAAAATGATGTCTTTGTACAGCATAGACAGGTGTTGCTTTCCTTGTACAGCATAGACAGGTGTTGGTGAGGCTGTAGCCTCCATATTGTGTTGCTTCATGAAGGCAATTTCTCTATTGGTAAGCTCAAAAGAGCGAGCAGTAGCTAGGACCTTCTTTAAGTCCATATCTTGAGCAATTACCTCAGAGTGAGTGTGCAGTGTCATCACCAGTGTGATTGCAGAATTTAAAACCATCTCATTAAATTCACAATCAGCACCTTTGATCCTTAAGCGAGTCGCCCAGTGATCATGAGATTCCTCTGGGGAGGTGGGCTTGGTGCAGAAAAATTTGTAGCGCTCCGCAGCTAAATTTTTTTCGCAGTGAAATGTGCAGTGAGAGCAGCTGTGGCGGTTGAATATTTTGCATCCGCAACTGTCAATGTTGCAAAAAGCTCCCGTAATTCAGAGCCACCAACAGCAAGCAATGCAGCCCTTCTCTTTGAAGGCCCCTCTGCAGCGTCAGTGATGCCCTCAAATTCCATCACCAGTTCTAGGTTTTCTATCCAGAGTTTCCATCAGCGTTCTTGATTGCTACCAGCATCTTGTTGCACATCTGGATTAAACTCCGTTACGCATGCTTTAAGACCCACTAGTGCAGAGGCCATGCTTGTAAGAAATTTTTTTTATGAAAAAAAAAATTTATAAAAAATAAAAAAAAAAACAGAATAGTGGGATATTCCGGCGTTTGGGTGTGGTCCGTAGAATATACCAAAAACTTTGTAGGCACTAGTGCCGTGGTCCGCAAAATACACCTTGTCTATGCGGAATAAGCCTCGTGCGGGCAGACGTCAGGCCTAACTCAAAATGAAAAGCAAAATTAAGTCACTTTCCTGCTTGCTGCATTCATGACTCTGTCACTGCAGAAGAGCCAACTTGTGCTTGATGTTTATAAACACTTTCCATTCTCGTCGCCATATGAATAGTCCACAATTAGACAAAGAGTAACACACATATAAAGACGTGCTTCTGTCACTTCGGTGTTACATCATAATAACCTCATAATCAAACAGCCTCGTTTAGAACATTACAGTGCAGCAATGGTGTTACTTGAAGTAATGGTTGTCATAGGGACAATCTCCAAATACTTTTAATATGCGTCTACAATCACTTAGAACATTTTTCCTTCGTAGGGGCCAGCAAAATCAAGATGCAGACGTTTCCACGGTCCCACAGGCCATGACCATTTTGCTTGTTGTGTGTCAGATGGTTTCTTAGCTGTTTCTTGGCAGACCACACATTCTTTTACTTTCCTTTTAACGTCTTGATCAAGCATTGGCCACCACAAATACTTCCTAGCTAACTGTTTGGTTTTCACTATTTCAAGGTGCTCAGCATGTTAATCATTTAGTAGAATTTCCCTCAGTGAAGTAGGAATAATTGCGCGATCGTTCCATATTTACTTATTATCCTCAGTAGTTATATCCATTCTCTTTTTGTAGTAAGGCAATAATTCCTCAGTTGGTTTTTCAGTCCAGCCAAATCTCCTGAAAAACAGTACTTTTCTGAGTACAGAATCGCTTTTTGTCTCAACTGAAACAACATCAGAATTGATTACTCCTTCTTGAGTGAAGAAAACTTGCACAGTTTCCTTCTCTTCAGTCATAGGTTGTTCTTCAACAGGATTTCAAAACAAAAAATCAGCACAGCAGTTATTCTTTCCTGGTATAAATTCAATTGTATAGTCATAAGCAGTTAATAACAATGTCCAGCGTTTGATTCTAGACAATGCCATTTGAGGTATTGGCTTGTGTTCCCCGCACAGAGTTATCAATGGTTTGTGATCCTTTTTCAAGGTGAAATGTCTTCCGAGTAGATATTGCCTAAACTTAGTGACTCCAAATACTATGGCTAGTGATTCTTTCTCAATCTGAGAATACTTCTTTTCAGCATTTGTAAGTATCCTTGAAGCATATGCAAAAGGGTTTCAAAGTTCCA